TTCGTTCCTGATCCTTCTTATGATTCGTATGGACGATCTCCTTTCTATGGTTTTTTTCAAGTACATTGATTTTGGAGTAGTTGCTTTTTAAAGGAACGCCTTCCAATCCGGTTATTCACCTGTCTTCTACTTTGCAAGAAACTCCGCGTATTATACTAGAAGTGGATGCTGTGGATGGAGCTCAGCTTTACAGGTTTGATGACCTCATTTTTTCAGCAATGTTTTCTAAATAGAAACGAAGGACAACTACGCGATGGTTGTAATTATGAATATTATTTTCCACAGTTCGTATGTCAAGATCTGTATAATGAGTTCACGACAACTGTGAGAATGAAATTTCGATTCATTAATGTATATAGTCTTTCAGCTTTATGTATACGTCGGAAACACTGTTTTCAGAAGAAGTAATAGAGCTTTCTGCTATCTACAAGAAACTCAATGTTTGAATGGAGGAACGTTCAGTAGGAGAGCTCATTTTCTGGTTGAATGTATTTGTATGCCGTTTAGGAAACGATACGCAGAGATGCCAATGTTCATCCCGATTCACAGGAACTCGATGTGAACAGGCAGTATGCTTGAACAACGGAGCAAAAACAATGTTCTTCGGTTGCAGTTGTCCAGATGGATATTCTGGACGTTTCTGCGAGTACAGTAAGCTTTCATTATCTAATGGTTAACGGAACATAAATATTACCCAGTTTCTTGCCCCGATCCTAATTATTCTGATAGGAAAGATTTACAAGCAAGTACCTACCGCCAGGTAAGCATTCCTTTCTGATTATAGAAAGATTAGTCGTAAAACATTCGCTTTTTAGGTTGTGTTTGTAATCAATTTGCATAGAAGTCAATTATCAGTTTACGTGTATCTGAAGTCCATTCTTCAAGAGTTCATATATGAAAACTTCATCAACATTGTTACACCAGTTCAATACAGTTTGATAACTTTCACTAAAACAGGTTACTGTATAGCTGTTTCTTGAAATCTAAACTGAAACTATCAGATGTTTCAAACATTATAAGTACCACAGACACTGTTCGGTTTATTACCGCTTTCAAGAGTCTATCACATTCGTTCAATGATATGAGTGCCGGTCCATCAAAAGTTGCTGATGCTCTAACGAATGTATGACTTTCTGGAACTTTGAATCCATTTGTTACTCTCTTTCCTTTTGAGGCTTACGCCATCATCGACAGACCACCCGCTCAGATTTTCGTCTTCACCGGGTTTGATTCTTCAAACCCCTCTGTAACACTCAAAACTTTTGCTTCGCAACAGATCGCGGGAACCGTAAGTTAGAGTAGAGTCATATTTTACATTTTTACACGGTTGTCTACTTAGGTTAATATTTTTTTCACTCCACAAAACCAGAGCTTGTCTTATCCTAACAGCTTGACAATGCTTGTACCTCCTAAAACAACGGGAGGGCGTTTAATGAAACTCGGTCCTTATGACGCTCAATCAGTAATTTTCAATCAATCAGCATCAGATGAAAAACACTTTTTCAGTTGCTTCCATTACTATCTACCTCAATGATTGAAAACGGGCTCATAATGGATGATGGTCACGATGTGAGTTGATGTCTATTGTTTTCATACATTCGGGTTGCAGGACTGTTCAGGAGGTTTTCAATTCTTTTTCGAGCTGGAGAGTGAAGCTACCGAAGTCACTTTTACTATCACAGCTCCCGGAATTTCGTCTTCCAATATTGAAATCAAAGACGACCAAGGTTTGCTCGAGTGGAAATTATTTGATATTGACTTGTTTTCAGATAATATTATCAAAATTAATGCAGGATACGCTGTGCTCTTCAGCAACTATGATAGTATGATTTTATCCGTCAGTACGTAACTCCTATATAACTATGCTATGAACAACCTGTGTTGCGTTCAGATAATTCTGTCAATAATATGGCTGGACACTGGAAAACCAAAATCACTGCTAATTCATATTGTAACTTACAGGTAAAAATTAATGCCGAGTAGAGTATTGAATAAGAGAATAAGGTACGAGTTTCTTCACTCATCGACGTTTATCTTGGATTTGCCAACAGTATCAGCCTAGACAACGTTAAGCCGAATCCGTACATGATTTATGGTTCACTCGAAAAACAATAAGATAAATAACATCAACTTAAGGTAAAAACGAGACAGCCTTCATGGCTTTCCGCTCCAACGGATATCTTACAAATCTGGAGATCTACGATTCTGATGTATATTATCCTCACCCTGGTTCAGATGAAAAGATGACGGGAACAGCACTTATTCATCAGAGGACCACTGAATGCTCATATCAATACATCACAAACGAGATATCTGTTAGCCCTTTTCACTTTGATTTGTATACGTTCATCTTTTTAGTTCGACACTACATCTTATCAAAAATCAATAGTTTATGGGATTGCTACTGACAACAGTACTTTTCAAAGAACTTTCCCTCTCAACATGATCAGTTCGTTAATCATAACTTTTTTCTCTCTAGCTTGCTTCAGAGTCTTCTAACACTCAAAGTACCTGTATGTTTGGATCTAGAGATACTTATGGGTTCTGCACATGTGATAGTCAACATACAGGACCAAGTTGCTCGGATCGTGTTTGCCAGAATGGAGGATCAGCCTCTTTGGGGATATGTGTATGTGGTGCTACCTATTATGGAGAATATTGTGAAAAATGTTGAGTTTCCGTTTACGATTGTGAAGTAACTCAAACCATCCAGATGTGGAACAAGAAGTAACTGTATCTCCCACCGGTTCGTCCACTCTTTCTACCACTCCATCCGGATCATCTAGTCTGGGAAGCACAGCATCACCTACTGGATCATCCACAATTGGCAGTACTGCCTCGTCCATTGGATCATCTACTCTCGCAAGTACTGCATCTTCTATACGTTCGTCTACTATGAGTACTACTATATTGCCTGTGGGCTCATCCACTCTTTCAAGCACTGTCGCATCAACTAGAATATCCACGTTGGGAAGTACTGTTCCTTCTACATTATCATCCTCTCTTGGTAGTACTGCATCTTCTGTAGTCTCTTCTACTATGAGTAGTACAATAACTCCCGTGCGTTCCTCCACTATCGGAAGCACTTCTCTCCAAACTGGATCATCCACAATTGGCAGCACTACGTTATCCATGGGATCATCTACTCTTGGAAGCACTGCATCTCCTACCGTTTCATCCACTATGGGAAGTACGGCCATATCTCTTGGCTCATCCACTCTTGGAAGCACCGCTTCTCCTACTGGATCATCCTCTCTTGGAAGTACTGCATCTTCTGTAGTCTCTTCCACTATGAGTAGTACAATACCTCGCGTGAGCTCGTCCACTGTCGGAAGCACTGCTTCCCAAACTGGATCATCCTCTCTTGGAAGTACTGCATCTTCTGTAGTCTCTTCCACTATGAGTAGTACAATACCTCCCGTGAGCTCGTCCACTGTCGGAAGCACTGCTTCTCCTACTGGATCATCCACTCTTGGAAGTACTGCACCTTCTGTAGTCTCTTCTACTATCGGTGTCCCGTGTGACCCGAAAACCCAACCTCTTTTCCTGAACTTCTTCCTAGACGCGGCGGGCTACAGCGGTCAACCAGCACTGGACGTAAGCTTAGTTCATTTACAGTAGCTCACCTATTCGTTAAGGGACAAAAGGATGTTACAATCAACGTGGCTTCACAAATATCCTTAGGAACGACAAATACAAAAACAAAATTCTTGATAACAGGTTCTACTCACTTTTTATGTATCAAAATTAGCCGTATCAGGTGTTGGCGATGGAAAAGTAGTGCCGCAAGTTGCTGCTAACACTGACGAAGTGGGAGGAAAAGTTGACGCCATATCGAGCCAAGATGGCTTATCATACGATTTGACAGCGTAAAACATTTTTTTAAACATAAAAATTTGGTTATATTTAAGTACCGTGGATGCATATTTTACGAGCCATTATGATGAACATGATAATAGTCAGACGCCATTTGCGATCATAATGAAGACTTTCGAGTAGGTTAAGCCTTCACTAGTAGAGCATTAAATGAACAAGTACAGATTATATTTGGATGATGACGAAGACCTATATAAACCTGCAATCACAAAGTTACAAGCCGTGAGTGATTTTATTTCAGTTATACCAGAGTAATATTGGCTTTTAGAGCGGATTCAAAGTAATAGGAGTTGCTGATACCAAGACGGACTCTAATCTTTGCAAAATTCTTGGAAACGAAAGTTGTTTCTTCATGGGAACGGTCGCCCCTTACAACATACAAGACGTTACTGACAGTATTGTAAAACTATTATGCAAAAAGTAAAATTTCCAACTGTTTCGTAGTTGTAAATAAAACTAAATGCAGAATTCGGTGGAAGTAATAAATCAGATTATGCTTTTGAAGTTTATTTATAAATGAAAAAGATAGAACCATTCAAAATGCCAGCAACATAGCCAACATGGCTAAGTACTGTTCGAAAGATCAATCATAATGGAAATTCGACACACATGCAAACGTGCTAACAGGGCCCGTAAAAAACGATAAAAGTCAGAGAAAAGATTTCAAAATTGGAAATAATTATTATTTACATTATCTGTTTTAACACCATAAAGAATCATTGCTTACAGTGAAGACTAATTAGCCTCAAAACCCTTCAAATGACGAAGAATAAGAATATTTAAAGCTAAGCTATATCTAGGATCAATGAATAAGATTAACAACAACGAGAACAGATATACATTATTACAAATTTTTCTAGAAGTAATAGTTAACTCAAGCTCACAAATTATCTTCTACTGATCATATGAAGCTAACCATATCTAAAGATGGAAAAAAAGGAAAAAAAAACTTGAAAATGAAAACAAAATTTGAGGACTGTTTAGAACTTTAAGGGTTGAAAACTGTAGTTTCCATTATTTGAGGTAGAAAGAGAGCAGTTCGCACCCTTATTCAGAATAGGACTTTTGCGCACTCCACAAATCCAGCTTCCATTTAATTAATGTAAAGCGAACTCATCATATTACTAAACTGGAGGGAATTGGAAAATAGGTTGAGCAGGAACTTTAGGTGTTGATAAAGGAGACCTTAAAATTTTGAAAAAATTAGAAAAAATGAAAAAAAAATGGCTAACCTGAAGGGGCTGATGACTGCGTTCATAATCGGAGAGTTAGGCCCGTATATAGATGCAGACGCCAAGGCGAAAAGTTGCAACTGAGAGAAGACATTACTTTCAAGAAAAAAGGTAAAGTTCGAACCTGCTGTGGTAACATAAATGGAGACATTTGAGCCATTATATTTAATGGTGATATTACAGAATAGGGTAATGTAGGGTTGAGATACTGCGTGGCACTCAAATTGAGAGGTCCGGGGCGTTGTCTTCTGCTAAAAACAATTATGCATTAACTAAACTTCTGAGTTTCGTGAATACCTTTCTTTTTGTGGGATAGGGCTGGATTTACGCTTTCTTGACTGGCTATCATCACTTTGAACAGAACTCGGACGGGATGGCCCTGGCAATGCCAAAGGAAGGGAAGGGACAGTGACATTACTTACAGATGATGCGACACTAGTCGGAGAGCAAGAACTAAAATTGTGTGTTGACTCTCATAGATTATTGCTCGAAACAAACCTCTCAGTGGGTGATGGACTTTCATTACTGGTGCTGCTATGACTAGTAACATTTATGGCTGCCAGCTGTTCAGCTGTAGTGAAACGCATGGGTGTTACTTGGTTTTCTGGTGATGAAACTTGGCTTATCATGGGTGATGTACTAGTATCTATATGAAAGCAGTTTGAATAGAAAAAACGCCTTCTACTAACCGAACAGATCGCTGATAATAGGATATTCACTTTTAATGTCTTTCATCTGTGGAGAACTCAAAGAATGAGGAACATTCTTCACTCCCAGAACATGAGTCCTATGTTGAGATGAGGTTGAAAACGAAGTGTCGGGGCAGTTAACAAAACGATAGACAAACTTCTGCCCAATAACCTAGAGAACAAGTGTGATTGAAGCACGCAAAAATAGCCGTACCTTTTTTATGATATCCTTGTCGTAATAATATCTCAATGCACGTGACAATTTATCATAATTCATCTGAGGTTTGGCTTTCCGTTGGCCCCATAGTCTAGCAACAGCTTCAGCCTCGAGAAGCTGAAAAACAGAAAAAGCTATTGCACAATGAGACTTTGTATCTTACTTTGAACTCTCCTGGCCTGTTGGTCCATTGAATCAAATTTGGGTGTTCCCCGACTTGAAGTAATTCTAACAAGAACTGCCATAGGGTAATGTTAGAGTCACATTGCCGATCTATAATACGAAACAAGAGTCGTTGAAAAGAAATGTTTAAACTCACTAGCGAAATCCATATCAACTGATTGGTTTCCAGGAGAGCCCTGATTGGCTGTCAAAATATCCATTTCCTTTTTAGGAGACCAATCTTCTGAAAAGCGAAAATTAAGAACACGTAGATTATACAGCTAGAATTCAGAGCACATGCAAAACTTTCAAAATATCAAAATCATAGGTTATCTGATCTGTGAATAGAGAATAAGAACGGTAGGCTATCGATTGATATTTGCTAGAAGACGAAAACTCGTTTATGGAGGTGTAGAAGAGGGGGACAGATGAAGACATCATGCATTACACTAAAAGACAATCATGTGATTTGATAAGTTAAGAAAAGTTAGCTCGAGAACGAGAGAAGTCTATTGATGATGTGAAATTCCAAACTTAACAATTTCGTTGTTGAATTTTTAAATTTTCTAAGAAAAAACAGAGAGCATTCCCGTGGAAGAGATTTGGATCGGCACAGAACATATCCGGGGGTTAAATAGCCGTTTCTTTCAGAAATGCCGATACAACCTTTCATATATTTTTTGAAAAACTCCAAATATAAAATGGGCAAAACAGAATTAAAATCTAGTATTGATTTCCATTCATTCAAGAGCGGAAATACCTTCTTATCTAGACAACACCATTTTGGGGTGGACCGGAACACGATAACAGACATGACCCTAACGAAGGAGATATCATATCAATCAATATTGATATTTATGCATAAACACATATTTTCATATAACATACGAATGTCAGATATAAGATTGTATGAAGAGGTAAAAAAAGAAAACAAATTATCATCATCAAATGATGAATTATCTTCCAGCAATCAATGCAGTTCTACACCCACCAACCCCCATACCCACCCTCCCGAAAACCAAACGGTATATGAAGGAATGATGAAGAACATAACTACTGAGAAGAAAAGAAAGTTTGTTATTCTTTCAATTAAGACAAACTGCGAAGAGGCTCAATTAAAAGATATGGACATCGCAAAAGAGAATTTCAATTCTGGACAGATATGAATAAAAACAAAAAGTATCACACAGTTCGTTCCACTGGTTAATCATGGATGTGATCGACTCGTGGGTCAGCAAGAAAATTAATCGGAAGGAAGAAAAACAGAAAGGTTCGAAGTGCATTAGTTTCTAATTTGCTTTTTTTGTCAAGAGCATTATACTTTCAGTAATGAGCGAAATTGTAAACAGCGTGCGTAAGATCTAAGAGAATCACGTACCTTTGAGTAAGTCACAAATATTCATCTTGAATCACGAATTAAATGATAAGCGTTAGAGAGAAGAAGGCTTAGGTAGATAAGCGATTTCAGCTAGAGAGTTCAAACAACAATCTTCTGCCAAGACAGGCTTGAAATTGATTCAAGATGAGAATATATCAAGTAAAAGGCTGGATGAAAGGTAGGTGGAGCTTGTCAACTGTAACTTGTGGCTACTTCGGACCCCCGGGTACTGCTCTATTAGGCGGCGTTTTTGTGCCGGATAAAATGTGACAATCGGTACCTTTTTCTTTTCCTTATATATTTCATAATCGATGTTTGTAAACACATGAACTACAGTTACGGTTTATATATCCGAAGGTGTCAATACCGTATAGATTTTCCATAAAGCTACTGTGAAGTTTATACATCAGAGAAAGCCGAACGTACTGCGTTATACTCACAAGCTCCTGGGGACATTTTTATAAAAGAAGGTTCTAAAACTTGTTAAATAATGATCGAAGCCTAATTCCTAAAACAAAAAACACGTTTTTTAAAATTTGTTTGATTTTATGGTATTGTTTTCAAATGTTAAGAAAGTTGAATTGTGGATCTTCATAGAACATTGAAACTGCTTGGCATTGCATTGGTTTTAGACTAATCATAAGAGGTTCATTCTGATCATCATGATTGACTTAGGATGGTTATATATGAACTCGGAAATCAATACGTCATGCAAATTCAAGTTCATTCGAACCATACAAAGAGCAGAAGGCGGTTGCATTCGCAAAGTACCTGTTTGTTTGCAGGCAAAGGTTGGGTTGTTATTTTTTTAAAATACTCGATACTTTCGTTAACGGTGAATTATAACAGCCATATATTAACAAGTTCTTGAGACTTTTACATGGTTTTCAGTAGTTTTTACGCTGTTCAACGTTCTCCTTACTGCCCACATCCGATTGCTTCATCAACAATGTGATTAGCTTTATACGCGAGTATCATCAATTCTCTGTCTCTCGAATGAAAACAAAAAAACTTGTCTAAGGCATGGATCAAATTTAGAGAGATAGTTAATAATAAAGACATAAAATCTTCGACAGTTGTTAATAACGTGTTGATTGTTCACAATGCTTTGAAGGTGTGAAAGAAGGTTATCTCGTTCTTTGTGACTTCCGAACAGTTTTCGAACATACTGCCTTTAGCATTCATCATTAAAACTTGGTTAAGGTCGAGAGCTTTTTGGCTGTTGTTCACACATAAATTTATCGCTCTACGATTTTATACGGAAAAAGAACTTTAGAAGAACTGCAGTCATTCTCAATCAAATAGGATTAACTGAGTAAGTAACAGAATGCGCTACGGAAGTTTGGATTTGGTCATCGATGATGTTGATGCGGTTGTTATCGCTATTTCTATGTATCTGATACCAAAACGAATGAGCGATCGTTAGAAAATTCAACAACCGGATATTAAAGAGAGAATTCATAAAGAATGAAACCATATTTATGTAAGAATTGAACAGTGAAGCTAGATTGGGGTGGAGCTATCTGGCAAATTAGTTTTACGTACCGTTTCATATGGATAAAGATGAACCAAATACAAAGAAATTTGTAATTTTTCTCGTAACTTATGCGGTTAAATGCCCAATTTCAACCTAGAGCAGAAGAATTGGGTAAAATGTAGATGGACATCAGGGCTATTCGAAGTTCTTCTTTTCCGTTTCACTGTGTATCCGTTTCAAAGAGACAGCGATTGTAGGAAAGGATAAGAATCTATGGAAAGAACATCACGAAAAACTATGAACGTGGACTAAGAAAACGGAAATGCTTTCGTCTCACAATTATTCGAATTTATCCGAGAATAAGAAAGAAATAGAAGGGAAAGAGGAAGCTGAACATGTTAGAAATCTAAAGATGGAAAAGAGTCAAGCGAAACGGATTGAACGATGAAAAATGAAAACAGAGGGGGAGGATAAGAGAGATGAAAATGCTGTAAAAGCACGAAAAGAAAAAAAAATGAGAAAACAACAAAAGCATACGATTAGACCAAAAGACATGGAAGAAATGACCAGAAAAGTTTGGTTGGTTTACTTCAATAAGATGGAGAACAGTAATAAAAGTTGTCTAAGATTTGTGAAGATCTGAGAAGAGAAAGAAAGAAGATATCAAAAATCTGACGGGATTGGAAGAGGATGGGCGAGAGGTAGCGAAAACGACGATGACCGGTTGGGAAAATTTATTGGAAATTCGAAGTATCGAAGAGGAGATAACTTTGCTTCAGCATAATAAAGAAACGATTGACTTGAAAGAAAAAGACATAGCTGGCACCTGTAGTTTCTATGAAATTAATTTGATAATAAGCAAGTAGATATGACAAAGAAGAAAATTGTAAATGATTTCTTCCACCAGACAATGTTTAGATATTTCAATGTTTTTTATTCTATTGTTTAGCTGATTCACAGCCTTAACTTTAAAGAATTCCGACGCGCTTGTTAGGATTTGAACGAGTCATTATAACCTACGGCTCAAAGAGTGTGAACCTTTTTCACTTAATTAACAACTTATTGCTAAATAAAGTTCTTCTACTTCACTATCTCACTCAGTCATTTCATTGCAATTTTGTCGAAAGACAGAAAGTTTAAGAGAGAGAGAGAGAGAGAGATAAGAAAAAAAACAAAAATCATTACACAGTCAAAAGGAAGCCAACCGATCGTGACGCCAACGCAACATGAAAATGAAGAAATAGGTTTTAATCGCATAATTTACGTGATAATAGACGTATGCAAATGAGTTAACGAATAAAAGAAAAGTTGAATAATGCATGGAAAGGTTCTTGGTTGATTGTTAGCGCAGCCGATACCTACAGTCTTTATCATTGTTATTGTCTTTAATCTTAAAAAAATAGAGAGGGGGGGGGGCAGAACGATGATTCATTATTACTGCATAAAGATAAGGAAAGAGACAATTTCGGATCGTTTTGTTCGTTTCAGTTTTGATAATGGGTCTCACAATCAAACATACTGTATTTGGAAATAGAAAAAAGTACTGGAAACAAACGGTAAACTCAAACTCAAAGAACTTAGCATGGAATATTCGTTCAGCTCGTTATATAATGAAGAAGAGAGAAACATTGGCTTTCCGAAAGTATTAAAAATCATTAGAACAGTCTATGACTTCTGTGAAGATCTGTTGTTGATCGGCTCGTAATATAGTTCAATTAACATAATTCATCAGAGATAAACCCTGTCGAAGATAATTCAAGCGTTATAACTGTTAATCGAAGTTATACATAACGTTTATAATAAATTAGACAATGAATCAACTTGCGTTCAATACGCGTTAGAATTGTCTTGCTAGCAATAGGCAATGAACGAAATGAAACGAAAAAAAAAGAAACAAGAAAAGTCTGTAATTTTTTTTTCGATTATGATCGTAGAGCAACAAAATGGAAGATACAGTTAGGCGACTGTCCAGATAGATAAATGAAGCTATCTATGGTTGGACAAGACTACAATGAAAGGGAGATGAAAAGGGAGGAGAAGAAGAAAGAGGATGGAGGGAGGAGTGAAGGAGAGGAACTAAGTGTAGATGATGATGACTGAATAAGGAGGAATCTGGTGGTTAAGACGAGAAACATGAGGAGTAAGAAGGAAGACGAGATCCGGTAGTAAAGAACAAGCCAGCTTTCGCTTGAAACCAACGATGAGGCTAAAGAGGTCTGTAGACTAGCGAGACATTATTGTTCTTATATTATTCGAAAAGTGTTGAAGATCATAGAAAAATATTATATCATATTAGTTTATGCTATCAATTTTGTTCAGTTTTTCGCAAACGACCAGAAGTTCATGAAATATTTTCTTTTATTCTTTTGTCACGGTTCCTTCTGTTGTCATGAAAGGCGTTCCCTATCTTAGGGTAGAATGAGGAGGTATATGAGTTCAAGAAAAAATAAAATCATGATGATGATGCTGTTGAAGAATATTGGTTCTCATTTTCATACTTCACATTCACCAATTATGAGCCGTAAGTTCACTCCTTTCGCTCTTCAAAACATCCTGAGAATTGAATGCGTGATTGCTAGCATCAGACGACGTCGTCTGAAACCTGTATGCGAGTGAAGAATACAATTGTTAGAGGAGAAACGAGACTGACATCTAGTATAGAATGAGAAGTTTAAGAAGAAGTCTCCAATCGACGACGTCCGGTCAGGAGTCAGTCAGTTGGTCCAAGTTCGTTTTCGTTCAGATAACTAGCATTGACTTGTTTCTCATCTGTGTCTCTCTCATCTTTTCATCTTTCACAAGCAACCACCAAAGCTTTTACAATTGCCTCGTAGATTTCTGTAGTTACTGTTGCACGTGGTCATAGTTGCAGCCGAAAAACACTACTTGAAGCTTTTTCTCAAGAAGACAAGACGAAAATGACGCCAAAATAAAAATGAAGATAATGAGGAATGCAAAAAAACCAGCAGGTTATTTTTAAGACGGAACTTTCGTCTTAAAACAGTGAAAACGGAACACGTCGAAGATATTTGGACTCAATAAGGCTTTTCGTTCTTGAAAGAAATTATTGAACTTGTTTTTCTTTGCTTTTAGTGAAAATATGATGAGAGCCGTACATGAGTGAAGCTGCAAAGACAAATCACGACTGGATCAAAAACAAAGAAACTTTACTTTTTCAATACTGAGAAAGTTGTGAAAGTAGATGAAAAGAGAAAAAAGTTGAAGAAGCAAAAATGAACATTGTGGTTGAAGAGTATCCTTAAAAGGAATTCCGATTCGACAGCATGTTGCTGTCGGCGGAGGCGGAAACGACGACCTTGCCTTCTGAGGCAATCAAAACAATTAAAACGGTTGTGGCATAAAGGTTCAGATGTATACATGATGGACGGCTTACTTAATCTTTCTAAGATTGGTTTACTTTCAGTAAGTCATTTCTATGAAGTATTGAGAAAGTGAGGAGTCATCAGAAACTAATAAAACCTGGTTTTGAACAGGAAGCAAGAAGAACTGTAATAGATGAACATGATGATGTCCAAATTCTCATTTTT